CGCTTACACTTGCATGGCTGGCGACTACATCACAACTGGTGAATCAATAGCTGCTTGTCATGCTGGAGGTCATCAATTGAAACATGGAAACACATTTATGTAATCAGCCACACAGAAGTTGAGAGGTCAGGGTAAAAGAAAAAAAAAACAAAAAAAAACTTTCCTGTTTTTTTTTATAACCGTTTGAAAAATTTCATGTGTTAGATGAACAACTGAAATGAACTGCACTGAATAAATAATCAGTGATACGGTGGCCTGATTTGGATGGCGAGTGGACAGCCTGCGGCGAGAGGAGTTAACAGTAGACAGCAGCTAGGCTCGCTGCAGCTGTTCCACTTGTCGACATCAGCTTGCAGCACTTCTGCTCTAGAATGTGAAGATATTAACTTTCACCTTCTTTGGCTGTCCCTGCGTTTTAAAATAGTGCAAATGATCCGAATCATGCAGTAAACAACACAGGCTCTCCTTGTATGCTGTGCTGTGTGATCCTTCAGGTAGGATTTGTTTAGTCATGCTCTCTATTAGTGCTTCATACCGAATATGGCGGCTCAAATGTCTGCATTTCTCATGAGGAATCACCACTTATATAAACAGAACGAGTGCTCTGCCTTCTTGATTTCACATCACTATATTACTTGTTAAGTGATCTATTGGGTGAACAAATTCACAAAATTGATCTGACACTAGACAAAAACAAACTGAATGCATTATTTCTCTATAGTTTTAACTGAATATCTACTTACTTGTTTATAATAAGTAAATCTGATAAAAAAATAAATTATTTCACATTGCGTAGCTTTGTTATAAAGGCCAGAGATAAGAGGAAAAGAGATGAAACCAAATGCTCACTTACTGTGTCTGTTAATGCTCAAACTAGCGTTAGCATTGCAGCACAGCTCACTGCCACAGGAATGTAGAAAGGCAGAGGTTTTATATGACTGTAAGCTATTTATTCAAAGCTTATAATTGTCCCCGTTGTACCGTTTTTGACTTTGTCCACAGCGCGTCGTGGAATCATATACCATCTGCACATGTTTACAAAACCTTATAGAGTTCAATGCTCCATTACTGCTTCTCTAAACACATGGAAACATATTGGTAGAGAGATTAAATGTGCATGTGAGTAACACAATACATGTTTTTTTTTTTTTTTATATATATATATATCCTGTGTATAAGCATACCTGGTTCAAATGTTAATCCGTGCACTGCCAAATTATACATCTAATCCTTCCCGCCAATGAGTTTGAGAAGCTAAAACTAAAACCTGCCTTGCATTCTAAAGTGTCTATCTATTTTTAGTCCCATAGACTTAACCAACATGTTTTATATCATTTCCACATCCTGCACAATTTCCTCTAAAACGCCTTCATTTTTGTCAAGGATGTATTTATAGGCCAGCATTGTAACCCAAACCTTTGAATTCATGGAGCACAGACAACTCCTTAGGGCTTTTAACAGAAGGGAAGACTTTTTACATTACACATTATATAAGTGCACAAAAACATATGTTCTCATACTCTTTACTCCCCACCGCCTAAGGGGAATCAGTAGATTATTCTGAAATCTACTGCTTATTTATTAAATAGTGGTTTGCTTGACACTACGTTCAGAAGAACAACTTGCATGAAATATTTCTAAGTTACTTGAGCAGCAAATTTAACGATTCCTTTTTGTCATAACGACCCTATGAGGTGCTTCTGACATAATGTCTTGTTCCTGTCTTGTATTTTGCGAAATGATTTGAAGTGTTTCAGCCATAATGAAGCTAGTTGGAGATAGTCACCCTGTTTTGTCTTTCTAATGTCGCGTCATATTATCCCTCATCATGCCGTCCCTTTCAGACCGAGACTCATGATGCAATAGAAGCTCACACAGTACAGCATGTTGCATAAGGTCATGTTACCCTGGAGCTACAGCATATTCTGTCCATAAAGAGTTATTTCACTCTGCTCAGTTAAACGGAGCCTTGCTAAGTCTTCGCCCCAGGCTAGCCCTGCGTCATGCATGTGGGAAACAAAAATATGCAAGTTTTTCCGTCTCTCGTCTGTCTGGGACCTGAGGCAAAGGGATGGATGCATTCTTGACAAGGAATAGGAAGACAGGTGGTTATAGTTTCAGGAAACTTTGTCCTCATTTTCCCTCTCATCACCAATTTTACTCGTTTTATTGGGCTTAAGGGTGGTGGGCAAAATGCGTAAACTGCATTTCCATGCCTGATACAAGTCAGAAGGTCGTGAGATCTGGCAAGAGATTGAGGAAGCATTTCTTAAGTGGAGTACACATACATACTAGATTTTGCTCGCACTTCTGTCAAACTCTTGGTCCCCTGGGCCAACAGCAAAAGTTCCCAAACTTCACTTTGGGCAGAAACTATGCTCAAGGCCAATCTTCTGTGCTTGTTTGTTTGCGAATCCAGTTAATTTAAAAAATATATTTAATCAACTCTGACTCACATCCTTATTTTCTTAAATGCCACTTAACAGCCGAAAACTGCAAATTACTTCTGTATCAGAGCCCACATTCAGCTGGGTTGCTAATCTACAACTTGTGGTGCTTTTCCCTTCACACGACAATCTTTTGATGAAACATTATGTAAGCCCTCAGTCAGAAAAGGCCTTCTTTATTAAAAGTACTGCATTTGGCTTGGGTGAGAATCTGCTCGACTGCACAACACCGAGCCACTAAATGCATTCTCCTGCCATTGAGTTTTCTCATTCATGAATAAAGTCATCGGACTTTGACAAACACGCGGCGCATCGCTTGTTGCAGCTGAGCTTTTGTTAGCCTGCGCCGTCAACTTTCACTTCAAAAAAGAAGAAATAATAGCAAGACTGAAATAGCCATCTAAGTGAGTTCATTCATTGTACGCCCTGAAGAGCAGCAACAAGCCACCAAGAAGTGTGCATTGACTTCTGTGGACTTACATAAGCACGCTTTATGTAAACGGCAACAATAACCGGTGTGGATTGACAGCTTTTAGACTGCAACTGCCACTCAGCTTTAACAAACACTTGAAATCTTGCAACATATGTAGTTTTTGCAGTAAGAAAAATATAGCTTGACAATTTAAAACTTTCACCTATTTTACCCTCAACTTCACTCCACGTTGGAGGTCTCCGGGTTTCCACAACCCTTCTTGTATGCTAACCTAATACAATCACGTGTCGTTTTTAGGGTTTACACAGCCTAAATCGGTAATTCGCTATAGTGAACTGAAGGTTATTTGTGTGGAAAAGACATGATTTCTGTTATAAGTCAATATCAACCATACATGTAAATTAAAACAGATTCTCAAATAACACACTGAACTACTAGATGCCGTTATGTGTCTAAGCAATGCCTAAGTCAGTATTTTATGTAGATCTGACTTTATTACAAAGTAGAAAAGAGAGGAATGTCTAAAATTCATATCTAAAATTTAGTTGTGAAACTGTAAAACACTTCATAACTGAAATACAAAAAAACTTCAGTGACAAGACATTCACAGTTCCCACTAAAATGATCTACACTGTTTGTAAAGACCTAAACCTTGAAATACATGTATGTTAAAGTACAAAAAATTTTAAATTTAAATTGAGGAGGGGGTGGGGGGAAATACCCTATTAAGAAATAATTTGCACCCTTAATTTAAATAGAAATACAATGTTTTTAAATTTCTAAAAATTTTAACTAGTAATCAGCTGTGGGGTGTTGAATGAATGATCAAATAAAGGCTTCATATCTACTGAAGAAGTAGAGTTTCAGTTATACAAGGATAACTTTTATTAGGTAATACTATCTTGCAACTATTAATGTTTTTTATAGTACAGGTGTGATGAATAAGTTCATTCTTACTGATGAACCTTTTTTTTTTCTTTGATCTGATAGAAACCCTTTAAACTTTATTTTATCAATTTGGTCATCAAACATCTGATCTCAAATATGTAGTGGTTTGAAAGTTCCAAGCTCACAATTGTAATTATATTTCAGTATTTTGGGGGGAAAAGTGGGACTATAAAATGAATGAGTACTACAGAAGGCAAGTTTTAGGTTGTAATCTGCATATTTGTATTGGCAAACAAGACACTTTTATTTTAAATGTCACCTTACTCTTTTGCAAAAACATAATTTTTGCAAAAGAAAAACCAAGGGTATACCTGAATTCCCTGCAAGAAAAGCAGAAATGATGACGGCTACTGTCAGCTTTACTGAACAATAAAGCCTTTATTTTTTTGTCTTTCCATAGTTCAAGTTTGTCAGCGCCACCCAGTGAAAAGGTGGCAAACAGAGTGAAGGAGTAAGAGGTAGAGCAAGTGTTCCATTCTTACTGTGATCAGTGTAAAAAAAAAAAAAAGATTTTTATATATAAGGGATTGGCCATTTAAAGGAGGCCAACTGGAAAGGAATTGGAGGGGGAGTTAAAGAACAGCAGCTTCCAAAGTGTTGCTAGCTTTCCCTTATGCTTAAAACAGAGAGACAAAGCACAGACCGCTGTTGTCCTTTCACTGGTTTCTGCAGATTCTGAGAAGCAAAACTGCCTTTGCATAGTATGTATGATCTGACAGAAATAACTAACACCTTCCAAACAAGGCAATCTCTGCATACTGTAGAAGAAAACACAGAAAACCTGAGCAGTGGAGTTCGACAGCACATCAGTCCTAAAATATGTATATTTAGCTGGCCATATGAGTACGGTCTGTGTGTATCCATCACACTGCATTCAAACTAATACCAACGATTACCATTCAGCTACACTGTGACAGTTTTGGACAGTGTCATGTTACATTAAAAAAAAGGAAATAATATTTACATCTTCAGCATATAAATTACTTCCCTAACACACCGTCTCTGTAAGGCATAATAAGCTCTTTGAAACAATCAAAAACACAAAAAACACACAAGTGCCTCTTCCAAAAAGACTACAGAAACATGGGCACGAGCAGAGAAAACGTTGAAATATTGATTAAATAAAATCCAAACCAGAACAAGTAGAAACAAAATAAAAACTAATAATGCAGTTTTTTGTTTTTTTTTTCATTAGAACAACTTGCGAAATGGCACGTAGAAGGAGATAAAGCTTTAAGCTTGATTATGCAAACCCTGAATACTTCCAGGTAGTAACAATCACAACACTGGAGCTGACTCTTTGATACTCGAGAAAGACGAAGAATACAGAGTGGTCACAGCCTCTGATAGAAGTTGATATGGGATGCTTTACATTCACACCATCGGGTGCTCCAGGAATGACTCGGCCTGCCCAGAAGGTGACCCTCTGACATTTTTATTCAGTTTTTAACTTGGCCCCAGAGCCTCCCACAGGCTGCAGCCCTTGCTCTGACCAATCACATCATGGCAGAAGTGGATCACACAAGGTAGGGTCGAGTCCCGTAGTATTCACACTTATCAATCACAAAGAGTATCAAAAACAAAAAAATGGAAAAAAAAGGAAAAGAAAATCTGTATTATGAGGAAGAATAACAAATACGCAAATACAGCTTTCAGCACACAGCAACATACAGGTTAACTGTTGGTTTTGCATATGAAATTCATCAACAACATTTCACAAACATATAATGGGCTGGCTCTGTCATTCTGAAAAGAGAGATGGAGGGTGGGGGCAAATAAAAAAATAGGATTAAAACAGCTAATTTGATTAAGTTCATATTTTGTCAGGTGGGAGAGCTGCTCACACAGGAAGCCTAGAGGAGTGAATGGAACCTCTCCAGTTGACCATAAAAGTTCACGATACCACCGCTCTCCCTGTCCAGAGCTGCTGTCAGTCTTTGAGTTACCCTCCCATCCTGTGGGTGAACGAGAGTCCATCATTCCAGTGAGGTTTTTTTTTCTTCTTTACTTATTTAAAAAAAAAAAAAAGGAGCAGGTGGGGCCATTGGTTCTTCTGATGACAGGTCCCGCCCAGGTTGACGAGGTGGAGCCTGGAGTGAGCCCATCAATCATCCAGGATGACCTTGACGAAGCTGGCCACATCTGTCTCTTTAGCGTCATGGAGGGTGAAAAACAGGTGCTTCTGCAGAAGAATAAAGGGTTAGGAAATGAGGCAGGACTTAATGTTTTATTTTGCTGGCAGACACTGTGAAATACAAAATGTTTTCTTGGTGGGTTAATGGGAAAAGTCTGACCTCTTGTGGGCAAAAACAAGGAAGACACCGAAGACCAGATAGTGACTGTGCTGTATTTATAACAAGCAAAATAAAAATATACCAACCATCAATTCTGTGTAGGCTGGCCTTTCATCTGGCTTCTTGCTTAAGCTGTAAGACAGGAAAATTATTTTCAAACTATAAAATGTAACAATTTATTTGTACATTACGTTTTAAATGAGAAACATCTTAAAAACGCAGATACAAACAAAAATAAGCGTTGAAACCTGAATTTCTTCAATTTATCACAGAGCAAACACTGACCCCTGCTGGGCCTCTCAGTCTTTACGTTCTCTATTAAACTACAAAAGAGAAATGAGTGCGGTCACGACTGGCGGCGTGAAGCTCACCACTGCGAGATGAAGTCTACAAACTCAGGGGAGAAGCGGTCTGCAGGCAGCTGTGGAGACGGCTCGTCCACCACCTGCTTGAGCTGCTGGAACGGGGTGCCCCATGAGTCGTAGGGGAATTTTAAAATGGCCAGCTCGATCTGGGAAATGGAGGCAAGAAGAAATCTGCTTCAAGTTTCTGATGAATTTCAGGGCTGTATGACATGCTGTAAAGCCAAGTTTTTTGTGAATGAGTCAATAATGTTTATTGTAATCCGAGACCAAAACTATTTCAGGTGACTTGAGACTAAATGTTTCTGGTCAATGTCACTTCAATGGTGTTTTTGCATATTAAGTAAATATGTTTTATGCGTTTTGAACTGGTTCAGCAAGATTTTTTGGGGATTATTTACAGAGAATATGAAATATATTAATGCATGTTTTAAAGCAAAAGCTTTATATAGCAAATGGGGTAGAAGTCATCAAAAAAATGACAAAGCAGGAGTCCTATCGAACTGTAAGCCATGTATTAAGGACAGCAACACAAAAAAGTCATTTATTTTCAGTAATGATTCACCATTACTGAATTGTCAACAAACCTTCAAGTATGGAGAGCTTTGTGCAGTACAGCGTCTAGCTAAAGTATTCATACTCTTAAAAATTTTTTAAGTATTTTAATGGGATTTTTTCCTTCTACTTTTCAGATATGTGATGCTCTATAGTGGTATGTTACAAAAAAAGTTTGTGGTTGCAATATAACAAATAAAAAAAAAAAAATTCAAATGGTATGGGCACTTTTTCAAGGCACGATTTATTATGACATACTAAGCAATATATTTTGAGAGCAAGAATATACAGGGTGTATATATATATATATATATATATATATATATATATATATAAACAACATTTGGTTAATATCGTATCACATTGTACTGGATGTAATTAGATGAGGCTTTTCAAAGCTTGAAAACTCACCATGGTGATGCCCAGACTCCAGATGTCTGATTTGACACTGTAGCCCTGCTGGTTGAGGTCAGGGTTGATCCTCTCAGGCTGAAAATATAGCAAAAATGTTTGTTTTTTTCCTCATATTGAAGCTACCTTTGTATTTTGATACGAGTTATACATTTTAACAATTTAGCATTTAGGAAGTATTGCGACACTAGACCAATAGGTGATGTCCAATTCATTCCTACTCCTCAAGCCTCTCCATCTCTTACCGCCATGTAGGGCTTGCAGCCTGCGTCCATCGTTTTGGCCACAGAATCCACCAGGTGGCCACTGATGCCAAAGTCGCACATTTTCACTTGGCCCTGAGCGTTGATCAGGACATTGGAGGGCTTCACATCTGGAAGCAGATGTTGAGAACATAAGAAAGTTGACAAATGATGGAGCACCTTGGGGCTGCAAACTGTTATTGTTGATAGTCAGATCTTCATTTTGCTTACCTCTGTGAATCACTGAGAGGTTATGGTGCAGATGCTCTAATGCCTTGACAATCTGTGGAGTAATTTTATAAAAGGAAATGCTGAGATTTCTGCTAATTTTGTGAAGCATATTTATTCAGGTGGAATGGGGTTTTGAAAGGACAAACATACTGCTACTGTGATCTTGCCCAAGATGTCTTCGGGAATTGTTTGGCCTTTTTGAAAAACCTTTTTATAGAACTTATCCAAAGACGTGTCCATCAATTCCATGCAGATCCAAACATCTCCCTGAAAAATATTCGAGTTAATAAACTTCCATTACCAAATATCCTTGGAATATTTACTTAATATCTGGTAATAGGTGTTACCTCTCTAAAAAGGGCACCGTAGAAAGTCACAGTATAGAAGCAGTCCACTGTTCTCATGGAAATATCCAGGTCCATCAGAAGCCTCTTCTGCTCCAGACTATTAACTGTGGCGCGAATCCTCTGAGGACACAAGCAGCACAAACTTTACTACAAGATTTCAAAACCTGCATTTATAGCTCTACATTAGCCCATACAAGTCTGAAATCTGATGATTTACGGTGTTTCAAAAGCAAGTAAATAAAAGGAAAATAAATCGAGCAGCTTCCTTGTCTACCTTGACCGCCATGATCACACCACTGGGGACGTGTTTCATCTTGTCCACCACTCCGTAGGCACCCCTTCCCAGCTCTTCAATTGGCTCCAAGTCATCTGCTTCCACCACAAAGTTCTATATGGAGGAGTCAGCACAATGTTACAACGCCACATGTTCAACACAGAAAGCAAACAAAAGAGAAGGATGTTGGAAAATGCAACTTTACCTGATCTCCAATTGTGACACAAGCTCTAGAGTCAAGGTCTCGAGGGGGCCTGCAGACAGAAAACGGCGAAATATGAAATAAATTACCGACTATCTGCTGCCTCCGACCATATTAAATTTGAGAACTATACGGTGTTTTTCAAAAGTATTAGCCCCCACTTGCACAAAATAAGAAATATTTACAGTTCAACACCTTTTTCTTATCCCTCTGTTCTTTGATAAATACCCTAAAGTGTGTCCACAAACACAGATTTTGATTCAAATCACTAAAATGTGACTGACTGCACAGTCAGAGTGCTGGACTTGCAAGGACATCCAATAAAATTTCACTTTTATTGGAAGTGTCTTGGTAACTCTGCAGTTCTGCCATAATCTCTCCATTTTCAGAGAATGGGTCAAACAGAACTGTTGAGCTTTTCCACAGTTCTGGTGTTGCTGGTGTAAAGAAAAGGGCCTTACGCTGTAGCTTGAGGGGGCAGTGGTGAAAATGCTCCTATGGGCAGCTTCGGCCCCGGATTCTTCTTCCTACCTTAAAAAGACACAAAAGGTAAAGGAAACATTATAATCTCAGCACTAACATAAATGTTTAATAATTAACCAAGCCAAAAGTAGCAAAAGTCTCCCATAAGCTGGCTATTTACAAACCCTGGCTAACTAATAAAAAAGCTTCTCAAACCTTTTATTTACAAAGCCTTAAAACCCACGTCACTCCAAACTGATTTTTTTTCCTCAACAGAATGAGTCTTGGTATTTGTCTCAAAAGGGTACAGTTACAGGTATCAAGGGATATTGACTTTTACAACATTAGGTTAAAAAATATAAACATTTGCCATCATACCATTGTGCAAATTAAAGCCATTAAGAGGAGTTGTTGGAGAAAACCTGGAGCAAATTGAAATGTGGCATTGTTCCAGTTAGAGAGAGCTACTACACTTCTCTCTCAAATCAACTGGAAATATTTCCAGAGGTGAAAAATACTATTAAGTGAAGCCATTTTATTATAACAGTTACTGCTATAAGCAACATGCATTATCCGTTAAGAAGCAGACTACCGAAAGCCTATCTGAGCTGATAGCCCAACAAATTAACTGGCTAATACCAGTCAGTTATATTCATGTTACTCTCCAAAAAGCAGAACAGGAAAAAGATATTAAATGTTGCACAAGAAAAGAATCAAAAACAGGTGTTTGCTTTTTTTTTTTACCATGTGCCAAAATATGAAACAATGAATAATAATATTATTACATTGTCTAGCAGCGTTGCATGCTTTTCACTTTATAAAAACAATTACTGTTTTACATCAAACTGCAAATGTAGAGCTTAGAACCAGGCAATGCCTTGATCACTTATCCACACTAATGTAACCAGAAACAATGTCACTATATTCTTTTGGAGTTCTTCTGAAGTCACAGTTACATAAACTGTTCATTGGAATTGATGTGCTCTCCTATCTAAAAGGAAAGTCACTGTCAGCTTTTGTGAAGTAAAAGGCAGGTAGGCGAAAGGGAACCATGCCTTCCTCTCTTACAAGCTTTTTTTTTTATTCAAGTAAAAAAAGTAATTCTGCTTTGTTTTTTTCCTTCATCATCCTTCATTTTATCGTTCTCTTTTCACACGTTTCACAACAATACACCCTTTTTAATGTTTGTTAAGCACTGTAAGTTAATGTGAGCGGCTTTGAGACTTTCCTGTGCTAAATGAGTGATAGCAATCCATTCATAAACACCGTTTACCAGAAGCCTGTGGGACTTCCCAAAAGTGAACGCGAGTCTCCGCCAGGATGACACAGCTACTCAGCCTGCAGGCAGCCCGTCAGGAAGAAAGCCACAAGTTTCCTTGACACTAATTATCTGTTTAGTGTGCTTCTCCCCAATGGGGAAATCTGAACAGATTGCATCATTTTAACACAAATGACTCATTAAAAAAAAAAAAAAAAAAAAAAAAAAAAAATAAACCAAGCACATAGTTAAAAACAAAAACACACCTTGGTTAAGGTGGAGTCTTTCTTCCGAGAAA